TTTAATTTTAACCCACTGTTTAATTCTTACCACCCTTTACACCAAAAAATATTAGCTGGACAATTCAGTCAACACTTTATTTCGAACTCTTGTAATTCGCTGCTGATTTGAATATTTAGTTTTCGTTTTGCAAGAACATGTGGGTTTTCACAGCGCGAATGTTAGTGAGGACGTGAAGAATTATAATCTCCGGCAAATTTTCTGATTTCAGTCCATAGTAGAAAATATTTTTTAATCTGGAATGCTGGAAAAGGCGTTTTCCACGTCGTCGAAGCAGTAAATTGAACAGAAAAAAACAATGCATTCATTCAAATAGCAGGTCTCCCGCGCAGGTAAACAGAAAGCAGGTAGGACGTAGTTCCATCTCTCAACATCAGAGGTCGTGCAAGCACAGCGCTGCGTTCTGCGACCTCTAGGGAGAACGAAATACACTAATCGTGATCACCTGGGGCTTTTTTAAACGCAGTGCTCATTATCATTTGAAATCTTGAGCAAAAATAATACAATAAAAAAAGTAAGTAATAAAATGCTATGAATAACATTCAATTCTCTTGTAGTTTTTATCCGTAAAAGCCCAAAATTCAATTGAAATATTGCAAACGAATATTTTTTTACGTACAAAATTACAAACAACTATACTGCGATTTTTCCATTACAAGACTCATTTTGTTTTTCGGGTGCACTCACAAGAGACATACACACATAAACCGCGTAAAACATTAATAATTATATTTCGTTCGATATACAGTGCACAGCTATATTTAATAAAATGCTAATTATACATTTTTAGACACAAAAATACTTAAGTCGTAGGTAGAGGGTTAGTGTACCGCTCACACCTTCCTCATTCTGACACACGACATTATTTCGCCCTGAATGTTTTCAACACTCATATAATAGAGTTCCTTTCTCGATTAGTGCGTGAAATAACAGCTAGAAGCAACAGTTAGGACATTTCGTCGTCGAGTAATGAATACAGAAAATTTGAAACTGAACTCTTAATACTCCCATCTACGTACGATGGGTTAATAAGACCTTTGCAGTTAGTAAAATAAAGACAATAGTGCGATGAAAAACTTACTAGTTTTATTTACTTATATTTCAAACCAACAATTTGCACCTTGAGGAAAACTGTTACAAGTAACAAAACTAGTGGTGTTAAACCAGCACGTATTTTCTCACCGTATTTTCACGCAAAATTCCGCGAATTACACTTGAAGTAATAGAATTTTGAAAAATTGTACATAACTTTATTTCAAAAGCAACTTTTAAGGAACAGAATTCATTAAGGGAAAAAATGTCTATCCTGAACATTTTAGTTGTAAGAAGACGCCGACAAATTTTGGAAATTTGCAATTTTCCAACAACAAAAGTTAATCAAAACCGACGGAGCCATTTTCTGAAAATTTTGAATTTGTCCCAGGGACTTCGTAAAACGTATCCCCTAAAATTAAATTATCAATTACAAATGCAAGGGACCGCGTCTTCGGTCAGATCGATTGAGGAATATCAATTTTGGAGAACGGACGGACGAACGGACGGACGTACAGACAGACCTTTTACAGTCATTCTAATATTCGGTATCACGTACCCACAAAACGTGGATTCTGGCTACACTACGTGTTAAAGGTTTTTTTTCTAAATTTAGCAACTGGAGTTTTCCACGTTTTCGTTACCAGAGCCCTGTAATAAGAGTTCCTCTGTCGAAAATTCACAGTTTTTTCGCGCAGCATTTCATAACTTTCTCTCTACTCCGTAAGTCGAAATTAAAAATGTTTCCTTAAGATATTTGGTGCATGTAAATTCTTCTACTCGTAATTAAGTCTGTGTCCTGGATAAATAATTCTTCAAATTGTAAAAATAGCGTTTCTATTACTCTAATTCAGCTTTCCCCGCACGTAATTTATGAAACTTACTAAGTAAAGATACTCAAATTCACCAGTTATTTATATGTTATTTCACATTGCTAAGGCATTTCGTGGTAAATTAAAAAAGATAAATAAACTGAAAACACATTTCTTAGTGTAAAACTCAGGGATTTTCCAAATGTGACGAGGCACTCGACAACGAACTTTCGGAATTATTCATCCTCATTGACGTTCCTGTTGACACATGCCATCATTTCTTAACCACGTCCATTACCACCTGGGTCGCTTGGTGGCTGCCCATTCAGAAGTGTTTATTATGTTATTGCTTACTTCTGCTTATTTTCTGGGAGAAAATGTTATAACATGTTCAACATTTCAACAGAGGATTTTCGTTCAATTTCTGAAACGTTTTACTCAGATGCGGAATCAGAATTTATTAAGGTGGGAATATAGGTATAGTGTCCAACCGACGATGCTTTCTTATAATGAATTTTTCGTTAATGTTCAATTTAATAAGTAAATTTATTTTTTATTTACAGTTAATTATAACGGATTCAATCGAGATATTAAATGCATTTGTTGGTATAGAAAAGGAGTAAGGATAATATTTGTGAAAATGACAATGACTTCTGGAGGCGCAGTTAAACTATGAGCCTCTCCTCCCTGAAGTACGCCACTGTTCTTCATTCAAGAACAGGCTAATCAAATGCGAGTTAATTTATTACTTTGAGGTAAGCAGGCCTCGGCGTGAATGGAACACGGAGTTCTCAAAACGTCCGCTAGAGGTAGCGCCCAGTCGGGACTTCTTTCCGCGACATCTAGGGAGAGACATGTGCACTAATGGCGTCTACCTGGCTCTCTTCCCTACAGTGATCCCTGTCACTAAAATAGGCAAAAGTACATAAGTATTTTTACCACACTTACAGTTTTGTAGTACGAAACAATCCGTCCTTTCTCATTTTCTGTATTTTTAATTATTAATCAAATTAATTTTTATTTGTTCCTGTCTAACACTAAAAAAATGTGAGAAACAGTTTTAAAATTTTAAATTATTTTCAATGTAATTTGACTTAATTATTTGTATTAATCCAATAAAATTTATCAAATTGATTGCAGTAACATGTTTTTAAATGCTTTCGTGAGATGGCCACTGTATGAAATATTCTTATGCTGGTACACTACACATTTAAGGCTAATATACTGAAAGCATTGAGTTTGGATAAAAATAATTAAGATAACCAAATCAAGATAAAAAATTAAAATATGAAATTTGAAAAACAGGGCTAGATTAAATAACGGACTTTTGAAATTATGAGAGTGAACATGAAAAACTAAATGATATTGCAAAACAGTTTCTGGAGATATACTATTGACAGCAATGAACTATTAAAACGTATTATGACCGGGCGTTCGTCTGTTATTAAAACAACTGAAGAACTACCGGTCAGAGCAAGCAGCCGCCAGAATTTTCCCTCAAGCAGCTCAACCCTCAGGCTGAATTCAATCCACCTACGAGTATATAGCTAGAGTCGAAAATCCGTCATTATCAGGACTCGAACCTAGGATTTCGCGGTTAGCGTCCAGCTCAGCAGGTCCGATCTCGCTGGCTACTAATCCCAAGTATAATTTTACATTACATATCTCATATTTCATTTTATATTTCATCACTCCTCGTGTCACTAACATTTCATTATTTAGATATTCTTTGTCTGCTTCTCGTAGCTTTCACAAGTCCAAGACATTCGGGTTCATGGTGGAGCTCTCCCAACTACTTTCAGTTACAATTTTATGAGAGAATTCAGAATGATTTGTTCTATTTCTTGACAGAGCAACTTGCTCTTGCCGATGAATTGAGGGATTTATTACAAATCCAAAGACGTTTTGTGTGGTTCTGTGCCACAGTGTCACTTTGCAATGCTGACCGGACAGGAATTTCATGGGTTTCATGTGTAAGAAAAGACGGAAATCTGTGGGGACGAGGTTCGGACTGGATGTAGGATGGAGAGTGGACACACACTGCTCGGATTACAACAAATCTGAAGAAGATTCGCTGGATGATATTTGGCTCTCTACCCTATTGTCTAATCTCGCCCCCAGCGAGAATGGTGGAAAAATGAATAAGGGCTGTATCTGTGTTCAAGTGTTTTCCAGCACTCCTTACTCCATACTCCTTCCATTACCTTCATTACTTTGATTTTCCGCCATTCTCATCCTCTTTCATCAAAAGCAATTTTCATCTCCACATCTGATAAGATAAGAAACATCTTTAAAAGTAGTTACTTTTAAACACGGGATATTTTAAGTGCTTTGCTGTCACAAAATGAAAAAATGTTTAGAAAAGGGAGTATTTTACAATCCTCATGAAAATACTATTTAACTGGATGATTATAAAAAATAATATTCCTGGTAGATTGAAAATCTACAAATTGTGGTAAATTGACTATATCACAAAAATTATATTGATTTAAAACTTTTAAAACGTTTTAAATAAGTTGGGAAGTTCATTATCGTCTCTTTATATTACTCTCGGAAAATGTTAGGTTTTATGCGATTTATATGACAGGTCTCAAAATTAATGTAAAATAAAATTAACTGTCTATTATAGTGTGCAAATTAATTAAAATGGTCTAAGTCACCCACATGATAATACAACATACAACTTGAGGCTTCTCCATTCAAATTTGGTTTCTTTGCTGAAACTCTTTTCACAATTAAATAAATCATTTGCAAAGTGAGGAATATTCATACAGGTCAAACTTTTCATACGATTTGTTTACACAATTACATCTAATAAATAAATTCATATTATCATTTGTTAAGAACAATTATGTTTCAATTTGTTCATAGTATTGACAGGTAACAAATAGGTCTTCCAAGAATCTTCCAAATATCCATATATTTTTGAAATAAAATGTATATAGATATCGTCTCCTGATGATACAAAGTCATTTTGGTATTACAAAACTGAGAGGATATCGATTCTTGACTAAACGATGACAATCAAACTAAAATTGAATATAAAAAGTATAAGGTTTTCTTCGACAGTAATTTATTTTCACTTTTGATAATGTAATAATACTTGGGATAATACATTTTGTTACATTTGAGAGTAAAGATTTGTGAATTTATTTGCATAAAAGTTCTAATTTTTCATATTTGATTGGTATAATTTTTAATTTAATTACAACTCAACTCAGTAATTTTGCAAACATGTTACACCAGACATATTCAGTTCTTCACTTGGTAACAAAAGTCCACGGTTATAATCACGTTTAATTTAGATCACTTCAAATACATATGTCCACATTTCATATCAACCACTGTTTAATTATTTTTTACATATTTTTTTATTGTTTATTTGTAGGCGGTAGATCCCCAAAACAAGTGAAGGAAATTCTTCATAGCAAACAGACTAGTTAGATTTCAACAGATTCCAGCAGTTTGTTCTTGGTGTTAATGCAGGTTCAATTAGTGGCGACGTGGTGCATGATGTGGCGAGCCCTGGAAGAATGATCATGGATATTAAACGTTTTTAGAGTTGTTACTGAAGTTGTGTGTTTGGAAAGTTTTTGTGAAATATTTTTTCGGAACAATAAAAACTATATAATTTTTTAATCTGTCTTGTAAAATAAAGTAGTTGATTGTTTATACACTTGTTTTCTCTCCGAAAAAATATACACTACCTTTTTTTGTGGTTATTTTAGTTTAAATGAACTTAACATATTGACAATTAGACTGAAGAATAATTTCAAAGTGTCACTACAGGTGAGTGATCGCCAAATCGTCGATCGGGAGCTACTAGTAGCTCGAGAAGCAGTTTCGCGCGGTTAAGCTCACGATTGCTAACTTTGACATGTTCTGCAGAGCACAAAAGTACAAAAAGTACAGACTGATGAACATTTGAAACACTGTAGTCGAATGGAAGTCAGGACCTACTCTCCCAACATAAACTTGTTAATCACAAAAAAAATGCCATCCTTCTCATTAACAAGTGTGATAAAAATCTGTTCTTATATTTAAAATTTGCTACAAGCTATATCTCAATTTTTTTTTTTTTTTTGCAATGTGCAATTCCATATCAATTTATGTTTCTTGTATACAGTTTTATTAAAATCTGTTTCATATTTAATGGAAGTGTATGTTTATAGACAATAAACAAATTTTAAGATTTGAAACCAAAAATTCTGTCTCGGTTTCCTGGTAGCTCACAGAAGGACTGAAAACGATGCGGTTAGTCAAATACTTCATAGTTTGGCGAACACTGCTAAAGGTTATTTTTTACTGTTTTCTCACATTACGTGTATATATTGCGCACGAACATCAAAGAAGGCTCACGGACGATTAATTAAGAACATCTTCCTACACCAATAATGTGTAAACAGTATTGTTCAGAAAAATACACTTTTTTATACCTATTGCAAAACAAAAAAAAACTACTCTTCTCCATTGAGAAATCACATTAGAATTACAAGAGATCAGATAAAAAAGTGTATTCAACATACCTGCACAACAATAACCACAATTGAAGATATTATCACAACGATCAAAAGTACCATTCCTATCTTCCACCATGAGACCTTGCCAAAAATGGAACTGTCAAATGACAAGGGACCATGCATAATGTTGTCAAAGAATTCCACACGAGACGGATCCATTTCAAGTGATGTTATAAAGCACTTGGAGTTTTCTAAGACCAGCAAATATGTTTTCGAATGATTTTCTTCAACAGATACTTGACCGAAATGAAACTCGGAACTACTCTCCGGAAGCTGTTTAACAATTGATTGTCGATGGACCAATTGATCGTCGATTGGTTTGAACAGCATGGAATAAATATATTAAATTATCTACACCCAGTTCAATGTTAATGAGTTCATGGGAACTATTATTATTATTATTATTATTATTATTATTATTATTATTATTATTATTATTGTTATCACTGATTATGTTTGAATTTTGAAAATATTTTAATACTCCTTAAATTCAGTAGAGGCGTAATTATTATTGTAAAATATTTTATTCTACTAGTGAAGAATGGGTTTGATTATTAAACAAATGTTTCAAAATATCTTTCAAACGTAATGCACATAACATGAGCAAGAGCACTGATCCTTGTTTAAAACTCCTAGTACCATTTGTTCTGTTTTAAGTTTTCTTTTTTTACTTCACTATTGTGAGTCCTTTTCTTGTTTGGGCTCTTCTCTACTGTGTTTATTGGTCTTCTTATAGTTTATAACATCTCCCTCACGTACTATTTCAAAATATACATGGAAGCAATGCACTTCCTTCCTATATAATATGAATTGCTGTCACTTACATGATATTGAATTTTGAAATAAGCAATTTGTTTAAATGCTAGGCACTTTTTAAAAAAGGATTCATATCTTGAATTGCTAGTAAAATAAATTAAATTGCTGAACGTATATTGTAAATGTAAGAAAGAAGCATTGATTGTAATATGTTACATTCTTTAGCGTGCAATACACAACTCCTTTGGTTATAAAATGATCTCAGATTGCTAAAAATTATGATTTTAAGTTAACTTATAGCTGTTTATAGTATTGAGTACAATAATGAAAAAGTGAACGATATAGATACTTCCGTGATTTCATGTGGGTAAAATTTGCAGCGTGGGACTTGTAGTTAATTCATAAATTCATTTCTAAATGGCAATACATAGCTGAGAAATGTAAACTTATGGAATACAAATTTTATTTAAAAGAAAAATGAAAATTATGCATACTGTGTACTATTTCTTCTGGTTCTTGGGAAAAACTGATACAAATCGTAAATTGTTTGTAAAATACCATAGAAAAAATTTATTTGATCACATATTCCATATTTTATAGTTTGTTTCGTTACGATAATATTTTCCAAATAAATAATAAATTTTTCCACAAATGGATTAATTAAGAACATCTAGAGCTATATCATGATACTCATCTAGCATCGGATATGAGCAGAAATTAATTAAGAAATATGACAACTTCTGAAATGTTTATTAATAAAGAATATTTAACTGGTAGGTACATTTATCTGGGCTCAAAAAACAAATAAAGAAGTTGAAATTTCTAAGTAGTACATTTAACTTTACGTACAATTAAGTTTTACGTCGATAGTTTGTTTTTCAATTATCAAGTAAGACTTTTACTTCCGCAGGGGAGAAATCTACTACGTTCTAAAACGTTACATGTCCGTTTCCTCAAAACGTATATTTACAAATTGATTTAAACACAATAATTAACTAATCCATGAATTTATTTCCAATTTTGAGGAAACAATTGTACGGGCATACTCCTTTAAAATGAACTAGAATAAATGGTTTTGCTTCTTATTGATGATTTTATTAATACTGAACTAGTGGAGAGAGAACATTCTCCGATTATTTATAATTTCTACAATTTTAATACATTTTGAGGCGTTGACGAAAATAAGAGTGCACTATTTTCTAGTCCGTCATTGCTTCAGGCGAGGATAAAATTGGAAGTCCCTTCTGAGAAAAAATATAACTTGCTTTTACGTAAAAGGCAAATTACGTGAAACTAATTGTGTTTAAAAATGTAGTTGATCTTACGTAAATATTAATTTTATAGAACAGATTTCATTGAGGAAAAACTCTCTATCATCAATATTACAGTTTTTGAATGTAAATTTTGGGTAGTTTTTGAAAATAGTTAAAAGGGACATTCGAAATTTTTAGCGACGTGTTCTTTAACTGAAGGAAGAAATACAGAAACAAACTTGTAGCCTTAGAGACAATATTTAAGAATTGCCTATATTACACGCAAAACCTACAAAAAATGGCGCATTTTCTAAAAACTGTACACGATATGTAAAGAAGTGTATTTGAATAGATTTTACTTTTAAAAAACCTTCAATATTGAAGTAGTAGAAAAACGCCAAAAAATATTTAACTTAAGCAATTTTCAAAAATCCTGTTAGATAATTCAAAATTAATCTTCTTAAAATGTCTTTTGACCTGTGAAAAGTCATTTTTGAGAAAATGTTTGAGAAAATTGTGTGTGCGAGTCCGTGTGTACTTAGCGTGACACCCCGCGTGGTCCACAGCGGCGTCCCGGCCTCACAGCTATGGGGTAAGGAGTACGTGTAGTTTGCGAAAATATCCCTACACCGTATTTTGGTCTTCTCAACCCGAGAAATGAGTTTTCTCATCGTCACAAACCAACATATTCCAGGATATTCCAGGCAAAACGCACACTATAATCTTGCCCGACCGGGAATCGAAGTCCCGTCTTGTAAAACGACCATGCTGACCAATATGTTAAACCTCCTGTGCGTTTTATGAATAATTCAAGTTTTCTTGATACATGAGCTTTCTAATCCTCACCCAGCACTGAATAGCACGGCACATTGAGATACTTGGTTTTGACTCGGAACGGCATGTAGCAATTTACAACAACCACCTCGAAGTTTCAAAACAATCGTTACATTTTGTGGCACGCTTTGGAGGGTCAAGTTCGTGCCCATATTTCATTACGCCATTTAAACAGTGACGTAGCCAGAGTCCTCCTCTCCCCCCCTCCGCTGTGGAATATCAAGAAAGCTTGTGCGTATATTAAAGTACCCTCAAAAATAATATTTTTTTTGTACACCAACATTACACAATCTCTTATGACATCGAGCATCGTACAGAAACTACGGAATTCTGAAACTAGTTCATTAATATCATACGTTATCAAACAATTGCCAGTAGTACGGTGTTTTTTAATTTACTCGTAACACAGCAAACAAGAATTACAAATCGACAAAAATAACACTACAAAACGTAAATGTAAGTAATCATTACTAAAAAAAACACTTATTAATAATGAAAATGAAATTTGCATTTCGAAACACTCGTAAAAGAAAATTCAGAACATCCAGAAACTGTGGTTTTATTTAAAGTGTGAGGTTCTGAAGGTTCGCCTGTGTTCAGCGTCTCTCCCCCAGATACAATTCTCCTGGCGATTTTTACCTCAGTATCAACTGACTCCTCAATGTATTGTTCTACGACACTGGTTGAACGCCTACCTCTGTGGCACTCACGATAAGTTAAGTCTCCTTCACGATCAACCAGCATTGTGGCAGAAGTTCTACGAAAGGAGTGCGCCGACTTCTTATCAGCGTTGGGCATTTTTAGAAATTTTGCGATATCCTTGGGGATTCTACCCAAGATATTTATTCCTACAAGATTACAGGTGCATATTTCTTCGCATAAAATAAGGAGAGGCATATGTATGCATTCATTACATTAAGAATATCTCGCGTCTCTGCCAGTCGCATTGAATTCGCAGGAATTCCGTTTTATAAAGATTTCCACCTCCAGAAGATAAAAAAAACGTTCCGCTTGATGGACAGATTCCGTTTTATGCTCTGAAAAATACCATATAACTTCACTGGCTAGAGAAATTTTCGGGTTAAGGCAGGATTCCCGCTTGTACAGGTTCCGGTTTAGACAGACATTACTGTACTACATAACACATGCAAAAGTGTTTTCA